CCCCCCCCCTGACCTGGAAGACGAGGCTGGGAAATCGGGCCGACCCAGATGGAAAGGGGGTGGGGCTCCCAGGACTCAGGATGGTGGTGCCTAGTCTGGGGTAAGAAGCCCGGAGGTCTCTGTTTGGGGATTGAGATGGGACGCCCGAGGTCCCGATGCCAGCCAGCCATTCACACGCCCCCCCCATGTGCTTGGATGCACTGTTTTCCATGCCACCGCCATGTGCATGCACATGATTCCTGCCTATGTCTCTTCAACCACAGACACCCCCCCTCTCTCTCTCACACACACACACACACACGCACAGAGATTTGCACAAGCACAAACGTTCGCATCCACCTTCACACACGCACACATACCCCTTCCACACACCGTTTTCCCCACACGCGGTCTTTTCCTAGGCGGGTGCAGTCTGGCACGGCCCTCCTTCTCTTTGGCACAAGCCAGCCCTGTCCCCCCCCACACACCCCACACAAACACCCCCCAAAAAAGGCTCTTCCTGCAGCCACGGCTGCCTGCGGGGAGCCACCTGGGGCGAGAGAAGCCCCTCCAAACCCGCCGGCCGTGCCCGCAGCCCGGCCGCCCACTGGCAGCAAGATGGCTGGCAGGATGGCTGCTGATAAAAGCGCCGCGCTCCCTTCCGGATTGGGGTCAGGGGATTCTCCCTCGGGAGTCCTCGTTAAGGAGGGCAGCTTCTAATTGCAGTTCAGAGAGAAAAAGAAGGCGAGGGGGAGGGAGGGAAGGAAGGAAGGAAGCAGCCACTCTCTCTCTCTCTCTCTCTCTCTCTCGTTCTTCTGCAAAGCCAGTGCAGGAGCTGCCGTGCCAGCTTCACCCTGCCTGCCCTCCGGTGCGGACCAGGGCAACAACAAAACCCAGTGAGACAGGAGGGGGCGTGGGGGGGTTAAAAGAGGCAGTGGGGAGGCAGACAGGCCTGGAGGCAAGCTTTTCCTGGAGCAGGAAGGAACGCCGGAGAAGGCGTTGGTTTGAAAGGTGGTGGCCTTCGCTTTCCAGTCTGGGGAAATGGAGCAACGGGAGGGCAAGCCCTTCCCTCTGCCCTTCCGGGGTTCGAACACCACCTGCTAGCGAGGCATCGCAACCCGCCGGCCTCCTTCCCTCCCCAGGGCTGCTGGCCCCACTGAGAGGCAAAGATATGGACGACGGCAAGTTAAAAGAGGCAGTGGGGAGGCAGACAGGCCTGGAGGCAAGCTTTTCCTGGAGCAGGAAGGCAAAGATATGGACAGCAGCACGAGAGGGCCATGATTCTGCTCTGCTGCGCTCTGTGGGCTCCCGGAGCCATGCCAGCCTCTGGCGGGCCAAGGAGGAGATCCTGCCTTGCAAGCCCTGCTTTGGGGGAAAGTTGTTGCTGTTGTTGTTGTTACTCTCATTGCCATCACAAGCAGGAATGCTTGACGACGATCCATTAGAGAAATGGCCAGCCCCAAGTCTGTGAAACCTGGACACCTTAAACTTGGCATTAATAAGACAGGGGCTATGCAGGAATTTCCCAGTGTGTCGGTTCTTTTCTTTTTCAGTGCATTCGTTAATTCTAGATCATTTAAATGTACCGTATTTTTCCGTTTATAAAACACCCCCAAGTATAAGACGCTAGATCATTTAAATGTACCGTATTTTTCCATTTATAAAACACCCCCAAGTATAAGTGTAGGGGAAAAGAGATAAAAGCCCTGCAGGATCACTTTGATCCCTGCTTTCCCCTCCACTTGTTTTTGTTCTCTCCTCTGCTTACTTCAGTGCATAAGACGACCCTCAATTTTCCTCAGCTTACTTCCGTGCATAAGACGACCCACAATTTTCAGTCTGAAGATTTTAGACAAAAGTATAGTCTTATACACGGAAAAATACAGTATCTCTGTTCAAAACCTGCGCTACCACCTTCAGCCACGAGGTGGCAAACTTCCCTAACCAGCGCATAGCTCAGTTGTCAGTGTGGCTCAAAGCAGAAAGGGTGGCTAGCGGCTACCATGGATTTGGGAGGTGAGGAGAAGACCAGGGGAACAGAGGCAAGGGGCTACTCACAGAGGTATAGAGATAGCCCTCGGCGTTCATGGCGATGTACTGGCCTGATTTGGTGCTCTGGATGGCAACCACCCGGAGACCCACTGGAATCAGATTGAAGAGAGCTGTGGGGAGAAGGAGAGAGAAAAAGAAAAAGAGGGGGTTTACCAGATACAAAACGACAGGAAGCTAAAAAGAGAGACACAAGAATCACGGGGTGCAGAATAGGGTCAGCGATGGACTGTCGTGGGCCGGATCTGGCCCCGTGTTACCTAAATGGATTCCTTAATCAGACTCAGGACAGGTGGCCAGGGCCCCCGGTTTCTTTCGAAGGAAAAGGGTCATTTTAGGGCCCTTTGGCTCTTTCGGGGATTTTACCCTACAATCGCCTGAGCCCCATCCCGCACAGCTGGCAGCAAACAATGGTGGCACTTGGAGCCCGAACATCTGGAAGGCTGAGGTTTAGCCCCTGAGATTCCTGGGTCCTTCGCGAGAGAACCTAGGAGGTTCCCCATAATCGGGGAAACCCCTGTCCTGGTCCACAACTGCCCAGAACCCTCCAACCCAGCCACATGCACACACCCAACTGGATTTTTTGGAGTCCCCAGAAGGAGCCTTTCCCATCTGGGAGAAAACCAACCAACGCCCCCCCCTTCTGCCTGAGGGACCAGACGCCAAGGGAATCCCGCAGGTGATCTGCACAGAAGGCTTCCTCGGCCCCTGGGGAGACGTGGCCTCCCAGGTGTGGTGCTTTTGCCAAGGGCGTCCAGCTCCCCCGGGGCCCGTCTCTTCTAAATGCTCGCTTAGGCCAGCCCCGCCACCAGCCAGGCCACGCCAGAGGTCCGCAGTGGTGATGGTGGCCTTCTCTTGCTTTGGGGTGGCGGGCAGCCGGGGGGGGCTGGGCATAGAGCCGAGCCTTGCTCGTCAGCTCCGGATGGGAAGAAACTGAGGCAAGAGCGCGATCATCAATCATGCATCCCTCCCTCCTCTTCTGGGCGTCAGAGACTCAATTATACTGAGACAGAGAGCCAGGGATCGGAGCCAGAGGGAAGAGGAGCATTGGGGGGGGGGCTGAGCAGCAAGAAGGGGGGGGAGGGATTGAAGGAGGAAAACTCAAATGGTGCAGACAAGCCAGGAAGAGCATAAGGGCGAGGGCAGCTGTGCGCCTTGTAACTGGGGATTCGTTCTGGACCCATCGTACAGGACGGAGGGTCCCTCAGCCCCACCAGGAAAGAGACAGAGAGGTTTCTATCCAAACTAAGGAGACACCCTCCCGGCTTTGAGGACCTCTCAATGACAGGCAACGGTGCATCTGTCAGAGGAGGGCCACGATCCTGCTCCCTATCCGAGAAACTGTAGACACGGCTCTCTGAGCTGCTCGGTGCAGGCTGTAGGCTGTGACCTCCCTCCAAGGGGCAGCCAATCCACTCCGGGTTTCAGCTGAAACTTTAAAAGAGCAACCCGGAGTGTTGAATCTATGTTGCAAGGGGTGGCTCCTGTCAAGTTCTGCCCAAAACCCAGAGCAGACTTGCCACCCCGCCGACATCGGGGCCATGAGACTCTCCCTTGCTGGTGAGTCCGGCTGGAAAGGAAGGCGCAGCATTTTCTCACTAAAATGTCGGCTGCTGGGAAATGCGATTTTTCAGGGGAGCCTCTGAAATCCTTTTGGAAAGAGGTGGAGCAAACAGGCTTCGAGCATCACCAGCTTTTCTCAAGCTCTGAATCTCCCGGGCCAGGATTCAGAGTTTCAGGCAGCAGAGATGGTGCCTGAGTGGGAGGCGGACACTCCGTGACACCCCCACCCCTTCCTGGTCCCAATGAACCGGACGTTCTCCTTTGCGTCCTTCCCCCCCCTCCACGGAAGCAGAGGGAACCTCCTGGGGGGGGCTGTCTTCCCCGGGCTCAAAGTACAAGCTAAGCCACGACCCTCAAGGAGAGCCTCCAGCTGGCACTCACTGAAGCCATCGGTGTCCTCTCTCGTCCCATCGATGGTCCCGTCCGGGTGGACTTGGAGGTAATACCCGTGCCTGCAGAACAGCTTGGTGACGATGCCTTTTAATTGCGGTTCTGCAGCAGAAAAGTTGAGAGACAAAAAGACACAGAGAGATTAAGAAATGGGCTGTCCCAGGAGAAATCTAAAACCAGGTCGAGAAATGCAAGTAATCCCATCTCCAGATGCCGGGGTGGGGGTGGGGGTGACCCCATAAGGGACCAACCAGGAACTGAAGTTCTCGATCAAAAGAGGAAAGCTGTCAGGATAGCTCACGGGGTTGAGGTCTCTGGCTGCAGAAGAACCAGACGTTGGGAGTTCGATTCCCCCACGAGGTCTCTGGGGAGAAGAGCCAGCCTGGGTGGCCCTGGGGTCCAAAGCTGCCCAGTCGTCCCAGGGCAACCCAGGAAGAAGGGAAGGGTGAAAACCGCTACACAGTCCCCAAGGTTGCCCTGGACTGAGGAAGGGAAAAGTAAAGCAATTCTGAGTTGCCCAGTCGTCCCAGGGCAACCCAGGAAGGAAAGGTTAAAAGCTGCTACACAGTCCCCAAGGTTGCCCTAGACTGAGGAAGGGGAAAGTAAAGCGCTTCTAAGTTACCGTATTTTTCCTGTGTATAAGACTACACTTTTGTCTAAAATCTTTAGGGTCGTCTTATACACGGAACCAACCTAAGGAGAGAACAAACACTATTGGAGGGGAAAGCAGGGATCGAAGCGATCCTGCAGCGCTTCGATCCCTTTCCCCCTGCACTTGCTAAGCCCCACTTAGATTTCTTAATTTTGGATTAGAAAAATGGGAGGGGGCGTCTTATACATGGGGGGCGTCTTATACACGGGAAAATACAGTAACCTGTACTCTCAACTTGGAAAACCACCACTCATCTTATACATGGAAAAATACAGTACTCTCTACTTGGAACCCCCCCCCAATAAGGGTCCCGTAAGTCAGCATTGACTTGAGGACACATGATGATCATTATTACGTCAGCATTGACTTGAGGGCATATGATGATTATTGCTATTAGAGGAATACACATTTTCCAGGAAAATCCTGCACCCCACCCCTCAGATTCCTTGGTTCAAGAGCCCGCTGGGGTTCGCAAAGTGTTTCCAGAAGCCACCGTTCTGCACTGTTTCTCAGGGGATAGTCACACTGACTCCACGGCCCTAAGGACAAACCGGCTTGATTTTCTACAAACAGGCGCACCACAGAAAGCGGAGACCGACCACAACAGAAAGGAAGGAGGCGCCATGAAATGCCGATTGTGCAAAAACACAATACACAATACAGACAAACATCCAAATGTTGTTGGATGAGAAAGCAGACGTGGTCGGTAAAACCGCACGGGGCCAGCGTGCTGAAGCCTCCTTTCTAAAAAAATCAGTCCGTAGAGGCAAATCAGGAAACGGAAAGCCAACAAGGAAGGGCCGGGCCAGCATCCTTTGGCAGGGAGTTCCGCAGGCTGCTCGGACATAAATGGCCATTAACATCACACATCTATAGACATTAAGGTCTTCTCCATCCCCAAGAAGAAGCAACTAGGTTAGTGGATGCTGGTCTAAGGCATCTGTCTGCTGCTTAGAAGGGTGTAGCCACTAGAACCCATGATCCACAACCCCCACCGCCAACATGGGTTGTCAATGTGAAGAGGGCCCCTCAAGAGCCAGAATGATCTCATCGCCTGCTTTTCAGGTAGAATCCAAGCTTTCTAAAAGACAAGTTTCCCTCTTTGAGCCTCCCCTGGTGTTAAGATCATCAGGGGAGGCTGTCTTCTCATTTCCACCACCCTCAAAGTTGCATTTTGATGGGGGAAGTGGGAGAAGGCCTTCTCTGTAGCTGCTCCTTTAGACTCTGGAACTCCCTGCCACTGGAGGCCAGGCTGGCCCCCATCTCGGCTGACCTTCCACAAGCCGCAAAAAAGACCTTTCTCTTCAGGCAGGCTTTCCTTTAAATGACTGGTTGACCAAGGGAGCTTTTACTGGCGTTTCTAATACAGTATTGCTCTTACTATGACCTTTAATATGACATCTCTTTAATGCTTTTAAAATATTGTTAAAAAAATTATTATTTAGCTTTTAACTCTGTTTCTTTTAATACTGTAAAGCACTTTGGATCCTTCAGGAGAAAGCCGGCATATTAATATTTTAAATAAAATAAAATAACTAATCTTAGAACTGGAGAACTGGAAGGGGCCCCTATGGATCATCAAATCTAGCCCCTCCCAAGGAGGCATGGTGGAGAATCGAACTCCAAACCCCGGAGCTGTCCAGCCCTTTGAACGGGTTTGCTGATCCAGGATCCAGAGCGCTCCTCTGGGCACCGGTGGCCCCCATGTGCGGCCTTTCCGTCACAAAATCCCGTTGGGCTCCTCAGACCTGGAAAAGAAAGCCACTCCTCTTGAACCCGTGGCCTCAGTGGATCTAGCAGAGATGATGACCAAGGAGCCAGGGGCAGGGGGCTTCTTGAGCCGCTCTGCCACGGATGGACGTGGAACGGCCGGAAGAGGGAAGGCGAGGTGTTTTGGACCGCGCAGCCATGATGAGGGGATGCTTGCTTCGAGGTGGGCCTCTGGATGGGGAAGGCGAGGTGTTTTGGACCGCGCAGCCACGGTTGCAAAAAGATGAACCTTCGGGCCATCGGCAGGGCATGCCGAGCCTCCAGATCCTTGTCCTAAGAAAAGGCTTATGTTTCACGGGGAGTGGGTGGGCAGGGGGAGGAAATGTAGGAGACCTTGAGACCCACCATGGATGTGTCTGAAATATTTTAACCCTGACTTTCTCCTTGCAAAGGACCCAAGGCGGCTGGCACCATTCCCCACGCTCATCTCCTGGGATGCTGAAAATCCAGGGTCTCTCTGTCTGTCTGTCTGTCTCTTGGTCTGTCTGTCCCCCCATCTAACATGCCCTCCCCCTCGTTTCCTGCCTCCTTCGCTCCAGATAGCAGACCACGGCGGCGTCCTGCACGCTTCCCTGTGCGACAGCAAATGGCACACAAGAGCAAAATGGTCCCTGACAGAAGAAGGTTCCCCCCCCGGCCCCCTCCCCAAGCTGCCGACTGGGAAGGAGAAGACCCTGATCTGGGCAGACACCACCGAGCCGTCCAAGGCAGCTTTTGTGTGGCCGGCTATCTCTCCCTCACTCCGTTTTATTTATTTTTTATTTTTTATTTTTGCAGTCCTACAGGCCTCCAGAGATGATCTGCTCTGACAGGATAGGGTCCAATGGCTCATTATAAATCTCTCTCTCTCTCTCTTGATTTAACTGAAAACACACACACACACACACACACAAACCCCAGGAATCCTGGGCCCATGCCTGAACCGTGATCAGACACACCATGATAGGGGAGATCACAGACGAACTGGTTCGAAGCAACCCGTTCCCTGACCTGCTGCCTTCCAGATGTGCTGGACTACAGCTCCCATCATCCTCTGTCAGCACGGCTCAATCAACCACCTCCACACTGCTGCGTCCAGCACCATGGGGACGGGAGTTTCCAGGTCCCCGTGTTCTGCCTCTGCGGCATCCTTCAGATCTCCTTTTAAAACCAGGGCGACCTTTTCGATCTAACCCGTTGGCTTCATGGGAAGAAGCGCAAGGATGTGGCGTCTGGGGTGGGGGAGAACGCAATAAGACCCCCCCACATACACACACACATTGCATTGAGGAGGTTCCATCCCCAGCATTTATAGATTATTCCCTGCCCCGCCACCTTTCTCCCTGTGAGGAATTAGAAGGCAACTGGGACTCGTAGTCATACAAAGATGGAGTCTGTTAGGTTTACTGTATAGTTTGGACTGAAAACGACTGTCTTGTGGGGCAGTTGTTCCACATTGGCTCTGCCTGGCACCAAGATAAGAAGTGAGGTCTGAGAAGATCATGAGGGAGGCCTCTTAACTGGGACGAGATAAGATACCTGCGGAAAACTGTGTCACGCCCACAAGATCCTAACTGGTCAACAGTCGGAGAGAAGGTGGTCCAGAGATGTGTAGAAAAAATGGTTGGTTCATGTATGTGAAGAGACATTTCTGAATTGATAGGGAGGAAAGAGAAAAGAGATGGGGGGAGAGATTCGTCCAGCTTTTCTAGGGTGACGATATGTAGAATGCTAGTCAAGATGATGACTTGACATAGTTTTAGCTGCTATTATTTTAACCTAAGAATAGTAAACGTATTTGAATCATGGTAACGGCTTGGATTTTCCAGCAGCGATGTATGGAAGGAAGAGCTAGACTATAAAGATGCTGACCGCCGAAGAACTGATGGAGACGCTTGAGAGTTCCCTGGACTGCAAGGAGATCACCCTCTCCGTTCTAAAGGAAATCAACCCTGGAAGGACAGATCCTGAAGCTGAGGCTCCAATCCTTTGGCCATTTCATGAGAAGACTCCCTGTAAAAAAAAAACTCTGATGTTGGGAAAGTGTGAAGGCAAGAGGAGAGAAGGGGATGACAGAGGATGAGATGGTTGGACAGCGTCATCGAAGGGACCAACATGAATTTGACCAAACTCCGGGAGGCAGTGGAAGATAGGAGGGCCTGGCGTGCTCTGGTCCATGGGGTCCCGAAGCGTTGGACATGACTTAATGACTAAACAACAAGAAGAAGCAGCTTGGATATGTATATGCTTTATGCTTTTAAAGCTGGAACTGCACTTTAAGGGAACTACTTATTTTCTTAATAAAACAATTATAAATTCTAACACGGGACTTGTCTCTTGAACAGCAGCACTGCACCTAAATCCAGTGTGGAATGGAAAGGTCACTCATGGCTACTATAACAGAGAGGTCCTACCTGGTCTGTCTGTTGTGCTGTCTAAAGAAGCACACTGTCCGTGGTTGATTGCCTTGTAAGCAGGCCAGAGGCTCTGTTTCAGGTCGAGCTGGTCCATAGGGCAGGGGCTACGCACTGCGGAGGCTAAAGGACCGGCCTCAGGCAAGAAAAGTGGGTGGTCGCTTGCGCCCACAGTGACTCCTCGCCCAAGATCAATGATCTCTTTAGGGAGACGTGGTTCTGACACTCCCCACAGCACGAGACTCCAGGCAGTGAACAGCAAAATAAAACAGAAAAATGTACAGAAA